ATTTTCGGAATGAAGAAAAATATTTAAATGTAATAAATTGTTTCTTTTCACTCTGATTTTAGACTTATTTTCTTGGTCGCCGTCGAAGGAACAGCTTTACGTGCTGTTCCTCGCTGGATCTGCACTGAAGTATGCATCGATCAGGTTTTATAACCCTTCGATGTAGGCAACCGATATAATGCAGTAGTTTGTAAATGTTTCGTCAAAATTTGCCTGTTTCTTACCAGACACCGGTTTGTAAGATGCCGACTACATTGTGTAAAAAAGTACTACTCACATGTCTTGTCATCGTTGTCGTTGTGGTGAACTTCAAGAGCAGCAACTCCCCTTGAACTACTTGTGTAGCTGTGGACGGTCGTCTGTTCGTACCGTCAACTTGCCTCCGCAACCCTCGCCTAGCCTTCGTCTTCGTCTTCGTCGTCGTCGTTTTACTAAAGGCTTACGCAAAAGAATGCGAATGTAAAATGCCAGTTGCAGTTGTTCAAACATATGAGCGAGGTTACGGGCGACGCTTGTTGGCACTCGGCAGTAATAGGCAACAGCTGCCCGTCCGCCAGTTCTCGTTCTTACGTTTTTTTCTTTGTCACGCGCCTCTGCCTCAGGACTGAGTCGTTTTTCAAAAGTATAACTGTCTGACTTCATGAGCGAACGGCTTATGAACAAGTAGGCAAATTGGTAGGAGTAAGTAAACCAGTAATTCAATAACTTTGTAAGGTAAATTAGTGAAAAATCAAATATATGTAGGAGCATGTATGGAACAAGTCAAACAATCGAGGTTTAAAGAAAATGAACAAACAAATAAATCAAATAGGGAAGAAATACATAAGTGAATGACTCAGTAATTATGCAGATCAGTGAGTTAATAACCAAGAAAGTAAGTAAGCCATTGCTTAAGTAATAAACACTATCGAGCAATGACCGTCTTTTGTCCCCCTCAAAGTCACCAATGAGCGGTAGGGCGGTGCAACATTCCGAAAAATCTGGACTTTTATTACTTATGCGTGAAGTAAGTAAATAATTAAATTGGAAAGTTATTAAGTCGCTAACTAAGGAATTTTAACTGCTGTTCAGCACATGAACCCTATGGCGAAAATCTGTCACAGGATGCTGAACAAATATAACTCTGTTTGATAAATGTAACGAGTTTAATCACTTTCCTCACCGCTGTTAATATGAGGTAGTTGTTTCTAGTTCGTGCTGCATATATTAAAATTTTTATAAGGTAAACTTGTAACATGTAAATTTTGTTGTAAACTTTGCAGTTCGTTTTGAACCCGATGAGCGGCTATATAGGTACTGTCTAAAGCGATTCTTTTATCTCCGTTTTTAGCAGGGTCCACGTTTCAAATGCTTAAACATCTGCTACTCTGGTCATACGGTGGTCGCGTAGTCGCTGCTACAGCCTAGGTATCCTCAACCATGTTTTGCACTTGTTCATTCTGTAGCGTTCATGTGCTACGTTGTATAAGCGCGTCAGTGATTTACTCGTTGTCAGTCGGTTTCTGATGTGCCGATCATCGCTACATCCTCGGTCATCAATTACCGCTTAGACATTGAGCGTATTTACGAGTTTCGATGCATTTCGCATTCTTTCCATGCCTGAACTTGTCTTCGTAACAGATGTCTTTTTGCTTTTGTGCAATTACACCTGTTTGAGTTGCTAGTTTCATACGCGGAGGTTCAGCCTCATTTTTTTTGTTCGACACACGATGCGGCGTAACTTCGCAGGGTGAGCCATGATGACTTTTTATTAACTTGAAATTGGCGGGTCAAAAA